GTGTATTGGCACAGTCCATCTGTATTTCTAAGATATGACTTTTCAATATTTAAATAAAGAAAAAGAAAAACTATAAGGCCTACTGGAGGTAAAAGAATATTGGGAATTGTGTTTTTTGTATTATTCACTTGATGTTTTACTAGAAATAAAAGTGCATTTGTAGAATTTTTAAACATTTCATAAGCTAGATAGGAAAATGTTGTAAAGGACTGGTGAGAAACGTATTAGTAAAATCAAAGATGAGATAATAAGTATAAGTAAGTATAATCTTCATTGTCATTGTACTTAAATACAATGAAGTTGGTTTTAACCTCACTGGTGCAAAATTATAATAGAAACGAAAAAAGAAAGAAAAAGAAAAAAACTAGCGTGTGCCATGGAGCGATTGTGGTTGTATTTAAAAGTCTCATAAAGACAATTGTCTTATTGCAGTATTATTTAGAATTACATTCCCAAAATCAAGAATTCTGTTGAACAACATTTCTATAGAGAACTACGCCTCTATAGAATAGTCAGTTACCTCCAGACTAGTACATACAATTGTTACCAATGGTGTCTCATATCTTGCATTTAAATTTACTCATTAAATTGGTTTATGCAAGCATCATTTTACTTGGCTGCCAAAATAAATCTTATGAATTGTTTTTTAAAAGGCTGTACTTTGCATTTACAATGATTATGTAATGCAAAACACAATGGCCTTGTTTTTATATAAATCATCGCAACTTAAGTAGAGATCTCTTCTATTTCACTGCAGAATTATCTAGAGGTTTACAATTTCTTCTGTTTATACCCAAACATATTCAATCTGATACTTGCCACATTACAAAACCAGCAACATTCCCACACTAAGATTTTTTTTTTTAAAAGAGCAAAGGTTGCATCATTTAAGAATAAACACTCAAAAAAAATCTTTGGCTTACCTCGTTTGCAATGGTATCTACTACAAAAACATTGCACCGCTATGAGAATTGAAAGAGTTTCTGAAAGGAAATCCAACATGACCACAGAGGAATGCCTTATCTCAGGAACAGTGAACACTTACCGAAGCTCAGTTGTAAGGAGATTTTTTTTTAATCCTTCAATTTAATGTAGGGCAGCTTTGTTTTCATAATGTAAGCCCCATCGCATGAAGGGAAAATTCTGCATTTAATAGTCCTTGCAATAAATTTATCAACAGATCTGAATGCCTGAAATGGTGAGAGTTCTTAAGTCCATAGCAAAATCAAGCAGATGTTACAAGTAATTGGCAACTTAAGGTTTTAACTAAATTCATGGAAATACTTGATGCTGCTGTCTATATTTCAATAATGTATAAATCTTAGGATCTACTTACAGAATAAAGAATAATAGAGTTGGAAGGGACCTTGGAGGTCTTCTAGTCCAACCCCCTACTCAAGGAGACGACTCTATACCAGGGGACGACTCTATACCAGGGGTGTCAAACTCCATTTCATTGAGGGCCGCATCAGCATTATGGTTGCCCACAAAGGGCCAGTTAAATGTAAGACTCTGATGATTCATAGCGGCCAGGTGGTGTGGCTTGGTGGGTGTGGCCAGTTTGACGGCACTCACTGGGCGTGGCTGACTTGGGACGGCTGGATCAGGACCGAACAAGTTGCACTTGCTAAATGGATGTGGGAACAACTCAGTGCCCCACAAGCTTGCCTCCCCAAACTGCTAGTAGCCATGGGGGGGAGGGAGGGAGGGAGGGAGAGCGAGAGCGAGAGCGAGAGAGAGAGAGAGAGAGAGAGAGAGAGAAAGAAAGAAAGAAAGAGAGATGTTCTTCTCCCAATCCCAGACATCATTGGTATTTTCCTGTGCGGTGCAGAGAATGATGCTGTTGTGTGTGGAAGTGTGGAGGAGAAAGCTTGCAGGAAGCAGTTTTCTAAATTCACCTAACACCCTGAATCTACTTTTACAGCTCTACATGCTAAAATATTACAAGCTTTATTTATTGGCAAAATTATTGCGATTTTTAGCCGCAATTTTCACAGTATTTTCCCTTTGAACAAACTATAATGGCACACACGCTTCCACAATGACATAGGCTCTCCTCTGTATCACTGGATAGCTGGGGCATTTTATATAGAAAACGAGTCACTTACTTTCTTTTGAAAGATGCATACTATAACCTTTAAAGCTGAGCGAAGTGCTTGCGTTGAAGCTGAATCAGCTGCCTTTACTCGTTCCTGTTTCCTAGGGAAGTGGCTTAAAATCATTCTGAACAACTCAGGAATGTTTCCCTCCTGCATCATGAAACCCCCAATCCCCATCTCAAGGTCTTTCACTACAACAGCTACTGCCGGAGTGCACTACCCACAAGGGTGGCAATGTGATGGTTTGGAAATAGCATCGTCCCTGGGCAGGGTTTCTAGTAGCCAGCCGATTGTCCTTGACATCTTTGAATGGAGACACAAATATTTCCACTTTGAGGGTTCCCACGGGACACTGGGATTACACCCCAGCCCTAGGGAAGAAGCCATACTTGTGGGTAGGGTTTCCACCAGACCGGAGGCTTGCCAGGGCTTGAAGGCTCACATACTGCAAAGGGTGGCAGAGATAAGGACGGGTGAAAATAAGGGGCAGGCATGGCAGAGCCAAAGCGGCAATAAGAAGCATCTCCAGAGCCTGAGACTTCCTCTGGAGCCACTTCATGCTGCCCAGGGGTGGGTTGCTGCTGGTTCGGTGTGCGTGCGCAGTTGCCTGTAAATAGGTATGTGCATGCGCACATTAAAAATGTCAAAAACATGCCGCAGCAACCAGGAAACCAGTTCGGGGGCGTGGCCAGCCTGGGTCACTGCTGGTTCTGCGACCCAGGCCAACATTCCACTACCGGTTCGGTTGAACCGGGCTGAATCGGTAGCAACCCACCTCTGATGCTGCTCCAACCAAAGTGCAGGGAAATGGGCGGCAGCGCATGTTCCTGGCAGCTGGTAGTCCCGTCTCTGCTGCTCCTTGGCCGGGTAAAGTGGTGCGGAGTGAGGGTGGGTGGGCAAAGCAAAGGCAAGGGGTCAGCCCTAGGCCAGATCTAACCACATTGCAGGCCGATTATGGCCCATGGGCCTTGAGTTTGAAATGTTTGCCCTATACCATTTCAGACAAATGGCTGTCCAGTCTCTTCTCTTCATCCAGTGATGAAACACCCACGTCTGAAGGCACGGCGTTCCAATGGTTGATTGTTCTCATTTTAGGAAATTTCTCTTTAGTTCTAGGTTGCTTCTCTCCTTGATTAGTTTCCATCATTTCTTGTTGCCTTCTGGTGCTTTGGAAAATAAGGTTGATTCCTTCTTCTTTATGGCAGCACCTTAGATATTGGCACACTGCTCTCATGTCACCTCTAGTCCTTCTTTTCTCTAGACTAGCCATACCCGATTCCTGTAACCATTCATTTTTAGGCTCAACGCCCCTAATTACCTTTGTTACTTTTGTTGCTCTTCTCGGAACTCTTTTCAAAGTCTCAACATCTTTTTTCTAATGTGGTGACCCAAACTGTGATGCATTATTCCAGATGTGGTCTTACGAAGATTTTATAAAGCAGTACTAATAATACTTCTCATGATCGTAACTCGATCTCACTCTTTATGCAGCCAAGGATTACATTAGTTTTGGTTATTGCACACTGCTAGCTCAGCAGTTAAGTGATTGTCCACTAGGACTCCAAGATCTGTACTTGTATAATTTTTTTTTTCTTGCCAGTGTAAAATCTTATTTTTCTCTATATTACATTTCATTTTGTTGGATAGGACCCAGTGTTTGAGTCTGTCAGGATCCATTTGGATCCTGAGCCATTCTTCTGGAATGTTGGCTACTCCTGCCAGCTTATTGTCATCTGCAAATTGGATGAGTTCCGCTCATCTAAGTCAATCTATTGCTTTGAATGTAATCACCATACCAATCTGACCAGTTGTGTTTTATCATGCCAGGAGTACTGAGCACAATATATAAATACAAATACTCTAAGTACTCTCATTCCTGTAGTAAACAATCTAGTGGCAAAATTTAAATGGCTAATCAATTAAGATCTTAATTTTAAGTTTGCATATACATTTTGACAATGCCACCAGATAATTATAGCCACCTGTAGGTAAACCACAGGAAGAAAGATAAGAAATTGTAATCCAAAAAAAATAAAAACATAAAAGAAAATATAGCCAACTGTAATTACAGCAGTCACTATACCACTCCATACCTGTCATTGCTATAACACACCTATAACACACCTCCATCCATTGCCTTTTGTTCTTTAAGCTTCTCACTCCTACTTTATGAGGATCTCATCAAGATAGTCCACTTACAATTTTCTTGGTTTACTTTTTCATCTTCCATTTCATATATTTTAGAGTTTGATTTTCATTCCTCCCTTCTTTATAACCAAACGTCAATGTATTTATTTTGTAGTGGTCACAGAGTTTTACCTTCATTCAACCCTGTTCATTCTGAACCCCTCTCTTGTTTTATTACATCCAAATTCTAAAGGATCTCGTTCCCATGGCATTCAATTTAGTGTGTTTTCTTTGATGCAGCTTTCACATCTGTGTAACAAACTGGGCAAAAGCACTCTCTGATTCATAGTGATTACTTCTTTTTATAAACATTCATTTATTGCAGCAAACCCCATACTACCTATTGCCTTTCTACTGTCACTGCAGGTCTTAAAATTTCCACATTTATCCATTTTTAGTCAAATATTTTACAAAGTATACAGTTGCTCTAGTTTTTTTAGCCATTTATATATAACTAGCAATCATTGATTCCATTTTCCCTTCCAGACACAATTCTATTGGTGCTTGATACTTTAATGTTCAGATTCATATTCCTTGCTGCATCAGATATATATTTCATATTTGCATTATTCAGGTTGCCAGGCAAAAATGCAGCATTATCTAAACGAAACAGTATTATACATTTATGTCTGCATCTAAAATACATCAAATCCTAGCACAATTATTCCTTAGGCGTTGATCTGTTAATGCATAAATAAACAACAGGGTATTGTATAACTTTGTCAAAATACTTTACTTCAGTCACTGGCCAATATTACATATGGTACATATGGTAACATAAAACAGGAATAAAGGATAAATGAAACAAAAGGGAGTAAAAGAACAACACAACCAGCATAGGTGAAACTTTGTTAATTCATTGTGAACACTGAGACTCTTAAACTACTTCTGGATCGAACATCATACAGGAAACAGATAAAACAGGAAAGTGACACTTATTATTCCAGCTCCAAACAGTTTGCTGCATACTTTCTCAGCCAAGTTGACCATTAGTGTCAAATTATGCTTTCATATCCAGTATTTCTGTTTGTGACTTGAGACTGTTTGTTTCAGTGAACTGGAGAGCATTTAATTGTCCAGAGTAGAGAAAAAACTAAATACAGACACTTAGAGCAATGCTTCAAGCTTTGGTTTATTCTTAAATTAAGTATCTATATTTCATTCATACTCTGCAGTCTTAATAAACAATTTATTCTTGGATATGGGCTCCTTTCACTGCTGCACTCGTAAGTAGGCTTTCATGAGAGAAAAAATACAATTGAACAAATGAAGTAGATTATAAGGTTTCTTTGAGTGCACTTCGTATTAGCTGCTCATACATTTGGAATGCATTTAAATACTCTCGAGAAAAATGAAATAATAATAATAACAATAAAAAATTAACTTCAATAGTCTTCACAGCTTGTTTTAAAATGCCTGTACAGATATTTATAAAAATAATTTCAATATGGCACAAAGGTGAAATCCTCAAGAAAAAAAAAAAAAACTACTCCAGAAGTTTTGAGTGCCTTACACAAAATGAGCTTCCCTGTGTTCCAGTTCTTGCACCCGCTTTGGCCTTAATCTCTGATAAGCGGGCTTCAAATCTGTAGGGGACACGGTTTCAAAATTGGGTTTTGGCTGCTTTCTCTGTTGGCTGGAGGAATCCAAAAAGCTGTGATCAAGGCCAGGATTCACACCTAGTCCTGGCATGTCGTTATGGGTTATTGCTGCACAGCGTTTGGACGCAGAAGTCTCATCATTTGGTTTGGCATTATTGTTGGGTGATGGTCTATAAAAGGTTCCTCCTGGCGGCTGGAAACATCTTGGCTTTTTCAAACTGCCAACAGGAGACGAGGCTGGGCAATGAGCTTCTCCCGCAGGCTTTATAGTTGGGATCCGTCCTGTACATGGCTTACAAAGAAGTATGGCATTCACTGAATTATGAACAACGTTGCCAGGTGGGTTTAAGGCACATGTATGTATAGATTCCTGGGTTAGGTTTTCCTGGATATTGGTCATAATCTTTGCTGTTTTTGACGTCATGTCATACTGTTTATATTGCTTGTCCCAAGTCTTTTTCAGAGTTTGTGGGTCATAACAAGAGATTCTAGAGCCAGCGTTAGCAGAGGGAAGTGACTGTGTCTCAGAAATGTCTTCAATAATAAGACTTTTCCCAAGCTTGTCTGGGTTCAGACTTGAATCCTGGAAGTTTTGTTCATTTAAAGTACAAGAAGGAAGCATCGATCCTAAAGGTAAACTCACAGGACGAAAAAATGGCTTGGACCTTTGACAGCGCATCTGAACTTTGGTTATATGACGTTTATGTCTTATTAACTGATCACTTTTAACACCATCGGTTTCAAAGTCATGCTTCCCATTGTCTTGATCTGAAACTGGAGTCGCTTTATTTTCTAGAAAGGAAAGAATGTTTCGAGTGTCATCAAAAAGTATATACATTTCAGATAATCACATTTCTTCTTTATGTCTCTTCTTACACTTTGTTTTATAACAATTATGCCTGAAAGACAAATCAGCCAACTCCAGAATCCCATTATATTTCTTGTATTTATTATGATTCATGTTCCTCAATTTAATTTAAGAAGGAAGGAACTCTCCTACAACTGTTTTTCAAGAAGCTACCCATAATGGAATTTCATCCCTCCGATTTGTTTTTGCTAGTAGAATGAACACAAACATTTTATATTTGTTTTTTAACTTAAGCTTCTCCAACTTTGCATTCTTCAGATGGAATCACTTGTTGGGAATTTCAAGTGGTTGAATTCCTAACATATCTGGACAGACAGCTCTCATTAGTTGAAAGTCAGGCTAATTGCAGAATTAACATAGTAAAACAACCCAAAGGAAAGATTCTTACAACTGGGCCCTACCTACATAAAGATGTTCTCATAATTCAAATTTAGCACTATATTGGTTGGGAACAGTGTACAATATCCTACCATAAATATTAGAGAACTACAATACTTTTATCTATTTCATCATTATGAAAAATTGAATATGATAATTAAGCTGGCAAAACTCAGATTGTAAAAGGACAAACAACAGGCAGCATTTACAGACTTAGGGAACTCTCAGGCTCGTCCGGGATATCATGTTTAAGCACTCTCGAGCAGACTGTAAGCCTGCATAAATTGTGCTGTTTGCCCAGCCAATCCCTATTCTGCTAGAGGAACAAGGTCAGTGAAGTGACCTTGCAAATTTAAGTTAGTAATGTGGTTGTTAAGTGAATCAGGCTTCCCCATTGACTTTGCATGTGAGAAGGTTGCAAAATGGGATCACGTGACCCAAGGACACTGTAACTGTCATAAATAACTCAGTTGCCAAGCATCTGGATTTTGATCACATGACCCTGGGGATGCTGCTACAGTTGTAAGTGTGAAAAATGGCCATAAGTCACTTTTCTCAGTGCCGTTGTAACTTTGAACAGTCACGAAATGAACTGTTGCAATTCGAGGACTGAACCTAATATGACACAAATGGAGAACAATTATTTTAAAAGCTATTAGTAAAGTACGTATTTATGTGATTTTAAGTTGCAGATCTGTCAAAAATATTATCGACTGTAGCTACGGTATGCAAAAAATAAGCTATAGATATAGCACTTGAGAATTAATTATAATGCACTTTTACCCTGAAATATTCTTTAAGTGTTAACTCAAGTTTCAAGTGACCTTTTAATCTTTAAAGATTTCGAATTACATGAACACCCTAAAAGTTGACATTTTTTCATCAATACTGGCACCACTTTAATCTAAACAAACAATTGCTTTGTCTTTTAAACATAGAATAATTCAACAGTAATAGGAATAATAACTGTATAAATATTCCATAGTTAATAAAACTAACCTGATTCTTTTATGGGAACTGTTTCATTTTCCAAAGCCAAGACAGGAGTAGATTCTGAAGAAGAATTTTGCTTGCCAAGACTGAGTTTTCTTTCAAGAGTACAGGTGGATTCTAAGACAAAAACCAGCAATGCAAGCATTTACTGTATATTTGCACACAGAAATCTAGTATAATGTGGAAGTCAACTATGGAGATTGTTAGGATCTGAATTGT